TCTCTCTCTCTCTCTCTCTCTCATCAAAATTTTAGATTTTTCATGATTTTTTCTCATTCTATTTATACTCATTCCTCTCTCTCTCTCTGATCTTCCCTAACTCATCTTATTTTTTCTCTAATCCTCTTTATCTCATCTTCTCTTTTGTTTTTCTATTCAATTTATTTATTTATCTTTTCTTCTTATTTTTTTTCTCCTTTTTTTTATCTATTAATATTAATATATAGTTTATTAATATATTTTATTTATTAAATATTTAAAATTATTTTGAATTATTAAATATTATCTAATGTTAATTTTAAGTTATTAAAATTTAACTAATGTTTAATTTTAATAAATTAAATATTGGAATATAAATTTTTAAACATATATTACAAAATAGTTTTTGTATATGGTGAAATTAAACTAAGTTTTTGAAATGTAAGAAATTTGAATTAAATTATACAATCAAAATAATTAAAATTTCAAGCATCTCAATTTCTAAGTTTTTGATCTAAAAACAACTAAATAAGTCTACTACGTATTTTAACAATTTTATAAGTTAATAAATATCATAAATTTGAATAAATTATTTAAAATTAATAGCATGAATGAGAAAATATCAATATATGGAGGATTATCTATAGAAAAATGTTATTTAAAGGACATGGAACTAGAATCAACTATTTATTAAAGATTGAATTGATTTTTTTTTCTTTATTCAAACCTTATTATTTATGTTATTTGTTATTAATTGTATTATTTTTTATCTATATTATTTTGAAATATCATAAAATTCTTTAAAATCTTATAATTTTTATTATATGAATCCATTAAAATTCATGTTACAAAATCTTGATTATAAAAATATTTTAAAAAAGTAAAATAAAATTCATTAGATTTCTGCAAAATCTTTTAAATTACACAAGATTTTTTCATGAAAAAATAATCTTATGAAATTCTATTCCAATGCACACCCTAACTTTGTAAATATATATATATATATATATATATATATATATATATAAAATATGAATTAACGATTATTGTGTTGAGATAAGGTCTTTAAAAGATGCAGTTGTATAGAATAAAAAACGTTGGGTGAAGGAACAATTGATTAGCAATCCTGAAAAGAAAGATTG